TTTTTTCTTTCAAACAGTGATTGTTTCGAAAATTTGACGTGCGCAAAAAGTGTGTTACAATTGGGCGCTGATGCTTTTTTCAGCTAAAATTTTTCTTCTGGATGAAAATTTTCGATTCTGACACCAAATGATCAAACGATAAATGATCGCACGTGCAAAATTTCAACCAAAAGTTTTATCAATACCACTTATATCATTATAAAAATGCTTTCAAGTACCAAAATACGAAAATAAAACGATATTGTTGACATTCGACTTGAAATGCTCAATTTTTTTCAACAACTTTCTCATTTTTGCTTAAAATGCATTTTTTATTTACTGAATATAAAAGGCAAAGAAAAAAATGTTTGGAATGAAAAAGAAAAAAAATGCTTGATTATAATCAAATAGGGTTGAAAGAGTTGAAACAGTTAAAAAGATCAAATAAAATAAATGAAAACAAAATTATGAAGTCGAAAAATGTTTTAATAACGTTATTGCTTTTATCACAAAAAAAAATTGTTTAGTTTCATTTTTCGTTCCAGACTTTCGAAGTGAATGAAAAAATTCTTGTTGTTGTTATTATTATGGTCCTGTTATTCTTTGTTCGATTATCAAAGAATCTTGAGAATAGATTTTTTTTCTATTCTAGAGTGTCTAAGTGGATTTTCATTGTGTGTATGTGTGTGTTGTGTTAATGAGTCAATAATGTTGTTTGAAGAAAGAAAAATAAACCCGTTTCACGGCAGGTATTCATCATTCAATATTTTGACCATAATAACAACAATTATGACAACAACAACAAACGAAAAACGAAACGAAAAAAATAACCATATTGTCACCAATATTGTCCAGTATTTATCTACAATGTAAATATCTTTATCTATGATTATCTATCTTCCATAATGATAATTTTTATATAAGAAAAGAATAAAGAAAGCTCTTTAGTTGTTTAGTCAATAGACATTGAAATGTAAAGAAAAGAAACCAGAGAATAGAGAATGAAGACGCGTCGGGGAATTTTCGTTTTTTTGAACAGTGTATATAATATTTTGATACATTTATCTTTTCATTCTTTCAGGTAAATTCAAAGATGGTTTAGGTTTGATAAATATATCTTTTCCATACCATTCTTGTCGTGTCTTGTATTTATGAAATATAAAATATGTATGTCTATTTGACCGATCATTATTGACAATTATTTTTCTGCTGCTGTTATTATTGCATTGATAATTGTGTGTGGTTAGTTTTGGAAAAAAATGAACTGTATTCAAAAAGAAAACTAAACGTTAATTCAGGATTCAAGAGTCAAAAAAAATATTATTATTGTCATTGATGTCCATATGAGAAATTCTTCTTCTGATTTGATTGTTTGATTTTTAATGTATTGCTCCAAAATAGTAGGTATATCTTCAATCATCATTATCAATATAAATGGCCAGTCAATGAGAAATAACAAAAAACTATAGTGTAATGGGCCACTTGAAATTCATTCATTTTATTCATCCAGTAGTCATTGTTTTTTTCAACTCATGAAAAAATGTAATTTTTTTCCAAATAAATGTTTGAACAGCTTTGATTTGATTTCGGGTTATTTCTTTTTCATAGATTCTTACAATCAAAATTCAAACAAAATACTTGAAAAATTGGCCACATTTATATTTGGATTTTTTTCACGAATTTCTATTCATCATTCATATTCGTGGTAAACAAATTTTCGTTTCGTTTCTCTCTTCACTATTTGATGATAAATATGAAACATTTTTTTTCCTCTCCACTTTAGCTGGTTATTATTTTTTTGATTTTGGTCGATATTAGATTTCATTAGATGTGTTTGGTTTGTCTGTGTGTGTGTGAAACATTGCAGATGCTAAATATATGGATAAATGGTAAAATAATATGCTTGATAATGATGAATGAATGAATGCAATGATTACATGATTGTCATGTCATCAATGTTCAATAGATGATGGATATTCAATGGATTGCTATTATCACTGACCATTATCTCATTTTTTGTTTTATTTTCTCTTCAGGTTGTTAACTCCATCAATTAGGAATTGTGTATGGTTTATGATTGAAAATGATTACATCCATTGAAAAAATTTATTTTTCTTCTTCTATTTGTTTGTTTGATGAGAATAATTCAATCTGTTCGAACACAGAATGATCAATTGATCATTATTAAATGTAGATAACGTGTAAAGAATTTTTGTTTTCTGGTTATGTTTCCCATATCCAAAGAATAAAAAAAAACAACGATTATCATCATTATTATTGATATCAAATGACAGCAATTACAGCAATGATAATATATCACCACCAAAAAAAAGATTTTTTTTTTTGTAATAGTGTGCGCCCAAGATTCGACTTAAATATTTTTTTATCTTGGTTAGACATTACATTAGCCGTCGTCTATGAAAGTCTATATCGATATCTGGATTTTTTTAATGCAGAAAGAAAATATCGATATTGATATTCATCAGTCAACAACAACAAAAGCCAAAAAAAATGTGAAAATGAAAATAAAACCATAGACAAAATCATGAAAACAATAAGAGTGGAGAAATAAAGAAAAAACGCTTGGCTAATCACAATCAAAGCAATTTTTTTCAGGTAAAAAACATTAAACAGAAAGTCGTAGCCAGATGATGAATCAATCAATCAATCAATAAGCAAGCCGTTAATGGATCAATTTTTAATGTTATGGCCGGTTAGAGTGGTTTTTTTTCACTGTAAAAAAACTGATATGTATCGTATGGTTATTGTCTCAACGATAATATCAACTACATTATTTGACCTTTGTCGCCATTTGTTGTTGTTGTTGTTGTGATTATTATTATCCATTATATACATTATACACATATACATAGATGAATTTTGCCGCAAACCACAACGAACAAAAAAAAACATTGAATTTTTTCTCATTGAGAAAGGTGAGAGATTTGGTAATTCAGAAAAGCAAAAAAAGAAAAAAAGCCATTAGCACGATATCGATATCGAGCCTTACTTTTATTTAATGAATGAAAATAAAATAAAATGATTGAAAAAGCCGAAATGATAACAACAACAACAACAACAATTATTGATAAATCGGTCTCGTTTTCATATTTTTTTTCTACATTTCAAAATCTCAATTTTCATAAAATTTTTTCTCTTGTTTTGGTTTTCTCTGGATGAATATCATCTGAAAATAAAATAAATGTACCATTTTTTTTTGTTGTGGTTATAGTGGTTAGATTTTGCAAAATACACTCTACATTGTTGTTATTGTAATCAAACACGTATGGTATTATATTCAAATTGAAAATTCAATGGAAAAATGGTAATGGATCGTGATATTGAGATGCTTCGATGATTATCATCATCATCATCAACACCATTCAACATCATCATCATCATGATCAAATCAATTGAATTTTGCCCGTAAGGCTCGTATATTCATTCAGGTTAAATGGAATGGAAAATTTGATAAAGATTACAATGACAATAAATGATGGAAATAAAATCCATAGATGAGAAAAACATATGCGTCGTTTTCGTTTTTCTATTATTTTTTTCGCTCCACATTAATGATGATAAAACAAATTGATGAAATGTGTGTGCGAAAGTGAATACCAGAAAAAAAATCAAAGAATCACTACTGCTACAACTTTTGTATCTATCTTTCAGCAGCAGATTCTATATTTATCATTGAATGATGATATATAGCCGATGATATCTTTGAAAATACTTTTGCGTTGTCACTTGCACCATCAGTCAAACAACAATCAAACACATACACACAACAGAAAGATAGACAAGAGAAGAACAAACAATTTGATTAAAAAAAACTAGAAAATTTTTAATATCAAAAAAAACATTTTTTTGGAAACAACTTTGTTTTATCTAATCGATTAAGAACAAAAATTGGAAACAGATCAAACAAATGGCCAGAGATTGATTTGAGATTTTTTTTTCATTCTCCTGGAACAATTGGAACATTTTTTTCCACTACTTTCTATCACTTTATTCATTTTAAAAGCTTTAGGCTATCTCCAAAACACACACACACACACTTTTATCATTCATTTCGGTTGAATAGACAGTGTTTTTACTTGTTGTTATTGAAAACTGTTATAATATAATAGTGGAACTAACTTTGTCACTTTTTGCTCCAATGAATCTTCTTAAATATAAATCCTTAATGTTAAAATAAAATGTGTTTTGTAAATTATATACACCACTTGAAAAAGTGAAAATCTTTTTCTTTCATTTCAAAAAAAAAATACTGAAATAATCTTGACAATCTTGATCTTGATGATGATGATCACACATTGATGATTTACAAGTGGTTTTTTTCATCATCATTTCATGAATCAGTCAATCATTTCTATAGCAAATCAATAAAATTTATGTTTTTCTTTTTCAAAATACAAAAGATTATTTCCGATCAAAGCTGGATAGATTTGAATATGAAAATCATGAGAGAAACAAAATATTCAAATTCAATTCATATTGATGGTCATCATTCATTCATTCATTCTCATTACCGATCCCATGTCTTGTCCCGCGACTCATCAATATTGGTATTTGAATATGACCCGGGTAGTTGGAGACAAGAGCCTATTTATGTGATAACATTATCTTTTCAAAATGATTTTGTTTTTTCATTCATTCAATTCAAAATTCGACCTTTTGATCAGATTTTTTTTTTTAAATAAATGTTTGTTTGTTTGTTTATGTCAATCTCTATTGAATAATAATTTCATTTGTTGTTGACATTTTTTTTCCATTGATTTGATTTGATTATTGTTGTTGTTTTGTTGCAGCAGACAAATTCGTTGTTTTTCTCATTGAAATTCAAAGAAAACCATTATTCAAATTAACTGATAACGAACAAAAACTTTGAAAGAAAAATTTAAATTTACTTTATCATTTTTTTATAATGCAATATTTATAGTTTATTTATTTCCTTCAATTTTAAGATTAATTAATCAAATAATAGTAATAGCAATAATAATAATAATAATGAAACAAACACAAATTTTATAATGTAAAGATGTAATGATTGATTGATGATGATTGGTGAATGAATAAAAAAAAGAAGAAAGGTTTCTAATTTGAAATCATTAACGTTTTCGACGTTTATTTGATGATGATAATAATGTTGTTGCTGATATTGCTGTTGTTGTTCCATTATTATTACCACCACCACGATTACTTGATTCAGATGTTGTTGATACAACCGTAGGACTTATTGGACCAACATCAATTTCAACATCTTCATCATCATCATCATCGCTATGACGATTATTATGTAATGGATCATTATCAGAATCATCATCGATACCAGCACCACCACCACCGCAATCTTCATCCCAGCTTGCAATACTCATCATACCATCATCATCATCATCATTATCATCATCTGATGTAACATTTAATGGAATATCATCATCATCATCATCGCCAACTAAATCATCAATATCATCATCATCCAGATCATCTAAATCATCATCTTTTGAACTTGTTGTTGTTGTATCACTATGATGATTATTATGATTATTACCAGCTAATGCATCAACACTAAAACAATGTAATGATGAATTTTTATTATGGTTATGATTTGATATTGATGATGATGTTATTGTTGGTGTTGCATTGTTATTGTTACTGAAGCCTAAGCTTGAATTTCGATGATGATTATGATGGTGGCTGCCAAATGAATGATGTAAACCATGATGATGATGTAAACCTGATGATACATTACGGCCACTTAAATGATGATGTTGTAGATGCATTTTATGATGCATTTGTTGTGCCATTTGTCTGATTTTTTTTTTGGATTGAAAAAAAAACAAAAAATTGATTAAAATTTGAAAAGTATTTTTCAGCTGTTTTGAAATTAGGAAAAAAAAGTCAAAACAAAAAGAAATGACTAAATGGATCGATTATCGCTAATGAATGGAACAAAAAACATTTCAAACACAGCCAACCAGCATTGTAAAAAATTCATTTTCATTAATTAAGGATCAATGAATTTATAATGATCAATGGGAAAACAGAAACAGCTGTCGACAATCAATGTTGTTGTTGTTGTGCTAATTTGTCGTGTTTGTTCACATAATAAATATTTCATTTTTTCATATTTTTTCCGCTTCTTTTGTATATTTGGGCTGTTTAAGATTTAATTACAGCTTACAAAAACAACATGAAAGAGGAAACACGAACCTAACTAACTAACTAGATAGGATAATGATAATAAATACTAATCAAGAGAAAAAATACAAATAACCGTCATTATCATTGCCACCATGATTGAATTGAACTGAATGATGAAGGTGAGTACAAAATAAGTGTGTGTGTGTGTTCCTGAAAAAAAAATCTCTGAAAATAGTAACCAACAAACAAAAGTAATGAATGAATGAAAAAAAAACTAATCATCATTATTATTATTATAAATGATTCTACTATACAGATCCAGAAGCTAAAATCATCAACTCAAACAATGATAATAAAACATTAACAGTACACGATTTTTTTTCGTGGTCGTGTGCCTACCATCATCATCATCATCATCATCATAAATTCATTGGACCAAAATAGCCAAAAATATGATGAATGATTGTGTGGAAAATCAGATAGAAGAAAAGCAAAGAAAAATTTGTCATCGTGTAAAACATGTATGTATAGCAGCAGTGTGTAACATTATCAACAACAAAAAAACCATACGGAATTAAATTGTCCGTTATTAAATGGTTTCTATGAAGGGGGGCAAAAAAAAATTGGTTGTTGACTGATGTTGTTGGCGAACAAACAAACAAACAAGAATGAAATATGCCTTCAAGGGTTCGACATTTATCAAATGAAAAAAAACGGTTATTTCACACACACACACACAACCAACATCATCGAAAAGCGAAAAAAAAATAAATACATTTCCGTTCGACGAAATAGTTTTCACCAATGGATGGATAGTTCATTTCAAGTCCAATCAACCGTGTGTGTGTAAAGTAAGTAAGTACAGTGAGTGTATTTTTTGTATCCAATACATCACCATCCATTCATTTATTTTTTACATAGCCAAACAAACAATATATTTACAGGTCATTTTTTTGTGCTGTTTGACTAAATCAATAGTCTTTTTTCAAAAATGTCAATTTCACTTTCACACACACACTTAATCAATCAATCATTTTTTATTTTCAGAATTTAAATTTCATCAATTTTAACACAAAACTACCCTAAAGGTATATTCAAGATTCATTTTCCTATTTGGCTATATACATTACAAATGTACAGGATGTATCTTGTTTGTTTGGAACACACACACACACGAAATGATCATCATATAATGATCTCAAGTAATTATTACATGAATGTCTTGACCACTCTAATTGATCTTTTTTTTTTGTTTGTTTGTTTGACTTATGTAGTAGCAGTTGCTGGGGAGAAAAACTGGTCAATATTCATCAGTTTCACACACACAAGTGGTGGATTTTTATATTTTCAAAAAACGTTAAGAAAATCAAACCATCAATTATTGTAATGAGAGATGATGATAATAATTCTTACTACTTTGTAAGAAAAATGAATGCGGGTCTCATAAGGACAAGACGAAATCAACATTTTCAATATTAATAATTTTTCATTTTTTTTTGTTCTGAATTTTGTTTGTTTAAGTGATCTGATCATTCACCGTAAAGATATTATTATTTTTGAACAAAAAAAAAAGTTTCAAATTTCTTAAATAAACAAACTTTTCTGTTGAAGAAGAATCATGGTCAATCAATCAATGATCTTTGACTTAATCAAGTAAAAGTGATTTGATTTTCACTTGAATCTGATTTTTGATTTTCAATGATTTGATGTTTGTCAATTGTGAAATAATCTTTCATAGTTTTCACTAAACTTGAAATATACAATGTTCTGAATGATTTGATCACTACTACTAATTATTATTATTTAGTTTTTGGCACCTAATAGTTGTTGTTTTTGCTGTGTTTCCAATGGAAAAAAATTTTAAGAAGATTATACACTTGATATGTGAATGAAACTTTGAATTGATTGGATTCTATAGAAGAAGAAAAACTTCAAAAACTAAATTGACAAGATGATATTAGAAGAAAATAATAAATCTGAAAAAGATTTCTCTTGAAATGATCATTTTCATGGATTTCAGAAACAACAAAATTTACATGTCTAGATTATGTTGACAATATAATCAGAGATTGATGGAAAATGAAGCAAAAAAATCCAAGATTAATAACCAAACTCTAAATGGACTACTCTATGTTTCAACAAATGTTTGTTTGTAGTGGACAAACAACAAATCCAAAAAACAAACAGAAAGAAAAAAATCTATATTTACTGTCTTTCATTCTTTTAAGCCTTTACTTTCATTCGTTTTTCATCAATTTATCGGTTGATCATTAACCGTAATCATTTTCATCATCTGTATTTTTTCGCCAGTTTGTTTGTTTGTTCAATGAATCTCGAATACAAAATACTCAAATAGGTTATGAATGTAAAATGATGACAAGAATGGAAACATAAACAAGAAAAAATATGATTAATTGAGACATTGGGTAATTTGAGAATCTAGAAAACATTATAATGATGATGATCATCATCATCATCGTAATGATAAATCAACACGCCCACATAATCATCATTATCATCATGAATGATGATGATCAATTCAAAAGGAAAAAAAAGAAGTTTGTTTGCTCATCATCATGTCCAGCAGCTTATTGTTTGTCCATTCAACCATGTGTCCATTGTCCATTCATTAGAAAACAATTAGCAAAAGAAAATAATGGACAGCAACTGAACGAGTCAAAAAACCTTTGAACATTTTTTTTGCGTTCCACGACTACCGAAACGGCAGCCGTTTTTTTCTGGATTTTCGTTTCAATTTTCACTGTGTTTATGTTTACCTAAACACACACTAATCATCATCATCATGTAAAATTGAATTGACGACCAGATTGCATGCTTGAAATTTTTTTTTCGTTTCTCATTCATTCATTCATTGTGTGATTGGGTTATTATCGTGCCGTATCATTTTTTTTCTCTATTTACAAAGTAAATATTATATAGCGAGACTAGATAAGAATGGAAATTTAACATCTGCAATAATGATGGTCATCAGATTTTGTTATTGGAGTTTTTGGTAGATTTCCCATCCAAACAAAAAATTCACTAATTGAATATATTGGAGATGTGTTGGAGAAATTGTTTAACAAAAAAAAAACTCAATCTGCGAATCGATTTTATTTTTGTTTGATAAGGATTCATTGGTGTCGGATGATGATGATGATTATCTCAGCATCATTATAATCATTCAGAAAATCAGAAAACTAGTCAAACTGGTCATCATCGCGGTCAGATCAGATTTTTTTCTTCTTCGAATGATGTTATTCAATACAAAAAGCAGCAAAATGCAAATGTTGAACAAACAAACAAACATCAAATTTTGTTGTATAATGGCCAAAATACAAAACAGACAGACAGGCAAACAAAAAAATCTTAAATCTTCATTATATAATAACAAGTAATGCAGAAGAAGATACTTCTTCAAGTTGATGATCATGATTTTACAAATACAAACAGAAATTTGAAATGAAATTCAAAAACAGGAGAAGAAAGGAAAAAAACAATGCAGCAGCAATATCCATCTTGATTCATTGATATAGACAAAGATATTTTTTTTTTTTGCAAAGTTAAATTCTTCAAAGTAAAATGAGAGATGGCAAAATCTGACAAAATGATTTTCATATAGTGTATGGGTAGTATAAAGCTTATTTCATAGGATTATTATCCCAAAAAAAGCAAAGAAGAAAATAGAAAGATTTCATTGTGGAAAGATTTTGATTTCATTCTGCTGCTTTATTTAAGAATAACAAAACAAAATGATGATGTTTTGATTCAATTAATGAATATCGCTGCTTTTTTAAATGTGAATAAAGTTTTTCAGACAAAAAAATATCTACTTTTGATGATGATTCAACTAAATAATAATATTTTTTTCGAGACCTGTATTTTTTCCAAGGTTTTTCATTTCCATTAATGTTCTTTTTATTTTTTTTTTTGCTTGATGTTTCGGTAATAGATTTCATTTCACCTTCTTTTTTCTTTCTGGTAAAATGATTATGATTTTAGTATAAAAAAAACTAAACTAACACAGCTTCTCAGATTCTATTCAACAAACATTATTCCATTTCACTCTCTAAATGTTTTTAATGCTTTGTCGATGAACAATGAAAAAGCAAGAGAAAGAGAGAAGAATTGTAACAAAATATTGTTCACTAATCACACATACACACACACAGGCAAAAATCAAACGAGAAATGGAAAATGACAACAGAATTTTGGCAAATGGCATTTCATTTCAGGAGAAAAAAAACCTGTCATTCTGTGATGATGATTTTTTTTGGTTAGGTCGGAAAATTGATGCAAAACATTTTTTTGAAATGGAACAACATACATACTATACACACATTTACTTATAGAAACAGACATAGATAGAAGGAAAGAACACACAAAATCAACTTACCGATTTTTAGCAGCAGCCGCTCTATCACGTTGACGTCTATTCTTGAACCAATTACCGACTATGAGTGTAAGTTTATTTACCGTACGGGTATTGCATTGATGTTGATGTTGAAATAGAAGAACAAAAAAAATCAATAAATAATTCATATTAGAATGCGAAAAAAAATGTTTGATTCAATTCAATTTCATTCATTTATTTACCTTGTGTAGGTGTTAGTCCAGTTGCTTGTGCTAATTCACGTTTTTTTGTTGGATTTGGATATGGATCATTAATGTACCATTCACGCAATAATGTTCGGGTCCTTTCTTTGAAACAATGTGTTTTTTGTTCACCATCCCATATTGTTCGAGGTAATGGAAATTTTTTCCGCACACGATATTTATCGACAGGACCTAATGGACGGCCACGTAATTTTTCCGCTTCCTGATAATGTGCTTCCAGCCACATTGCCTGTAATTTAGAATGTGAACCTTTTGTAAATCGATGATTTTCAAGTATATGATATAATTCACGAAAATTTCCAGCATGAAATGCAACTAATGCTCGTGCACGAAGTACAGATTCATTTTTATTTAATTCTGCACAATTTGGATGTGCAACCGGTAATGACCATAAAAATCGACCTAATCGTTCAATATCACCACTTTCTTCCAGAGTTTCACAAACAGCCGCAACTTGTCCAACAGTAAAATTTAATGTTGGTAACATAAACATTGCAGCAGCTGGATGTGTTCCATATGCTGCGGCAGCAGCTGCAGCTGCCGCAGCAGCCGCTGCTTGTTGTTGTTGTTGTGATGATGTTTGATTTCCCGAAGAATTTCCCGATGAATTTGATGTTGTTGATGATGATGATGATGATTGCGATTGTGACGCTTGTGATGTAGCAGCCAATCCAATTGCACCATTTGCCATTGCTGATGCCGATAGTGCAGCTAAGGCCGCTGCACCAAGGCCAAGTGCTGTCATACCATGTAGATGTGTTGCTGTTGATCCAAATGGTCCACCAATACCACCAACACCACCACCAAACGATGCTAATGCCGTCGATAATGATGATGATGATGATAATGAGGATAATTGATGATGAGGCGCCGTTGTTTTAGATTTTTCAATCAAAGATGATATCGATGATGCAGATGATGAAGATTGATTTGCCAATGATAATGGCTGTTTTGTTGATGATGGTGATGGTGGCGGTGATGAAGGTGAAGGACAATAACCAGTTGTTGTTGTTGTTGTATTGAACGATTGTGATGTTCGATTGTGATGATGTTTTTTAGGTGATGTTATTGTTGTTGCTCGCTTGTTGGTTGAATACTTTCGTTTGATTAGATTATTATTATTATTTGTTGTTTGATTGATTGAATGATGATGGTGATCGATTGTTGATACCGATGATGATGATCCAATTGATGATACCGATGATGTTATCGATAATGTTGGTGATGATGATGATGATATTCTTCGTTTTCGACGTTTTTGTTGTTGTTGTTGTTGTCGTTGATGACAATGTTGTGATTCGTTTGCCACAATTCCAACGCCCACTAGATGGTGTCGTGGCGGGAAAATATCGTTACGATTGGATAAATCCGTTTTGGCCAGTTTTTTTTTGTTCTGTGTTTTGGTTTTATTTTAAGTTAGTTGGTTTTGGTTGAGATTCTTGTTTAGACAGAATATTTTTCGGATGTCACTCACTTTGAATGAAAATTTTGCAACCAAAATCAAAAAAAAAGATGATCACACCAAACCAAAAAAAAAATCAATCTTTTTATGAATTTTCAACAACAAATTCAAATTCGAACAAGAAACGATTACTTTCAAATGACAATGATTGCAATGAAATGAAATGAATTGAAAAAAAAGAAAAAGAAAAAAAAAGTATCGTCGATCATATCGTTGATGGTATGAATGAATGATTTTTTTCATATATCTGGTAATAATATCTCTTTGGTTGAGAGTATACACCACACACCACACACTATACATATACAGAGGAAAAAAGAAGAAGAAGTAGACGATAATAACAACAACAACAAAAAAATGGTTGAAATAAATGATGAAATGAATGAAAGCAATGGTAAAAAACCCCGAATTTTTTTTTCTTTGGTAACCAATAAGACTAACAATATATGTGTATAATGATCATCATTAATACCAGCCTACCAATCCAATTCAATCCAATCCAGTGAAAATAGAGATTGGTAATATGTATTATGATGAACAACAAAAAAAAACTAACTAAAGTAAAATGCACCACTCCTATGACCGGTATACGTCATCATTATCATCATTGAGTGTATTATACACCAAACACAGCATACCACACATATATATAACATTGTCGTTTGTGTTGTTGAAACCATATCGTTAGAGGATTGGTTATCATCTAATAGAACTATGAACTAAAAAACCATTGAATGGAGAATATATGATGAAAAGCGATCCCTTCTCATTTTTATTTTTATTTTTCCTTCAGTTTAGTTTAGTTTAGTTTAGTTCAATTTCATTCATTCATTCTTTATCGTTCTTCTACTTTTTTTCGTTGTTTTCCTCTTCAGTTTTTTGCTGTTGTCGTTGTATTATTGGTTGGTTTTGGTTTTTTTTTTGTTCAGGAAAAAACGACTACTATTTTTTTAAGGGTGGAGCTGTGTTAACATTGATACATCCCCATTTATTCTCATTTGCTATTTGGACATACAACTGGATTGATTTCAAAGTTGTTGTTTAGTCGCGCGCGTTTTCCTATTTTGTTATTGTTGTTGTTTTGTTCGGTTATACTTTTTTTCAACATTGAAATGGATGTATCTCAACATCTTTTCTCTCTCTCTCTCTTTATTCCAGAAAATCTCTTTCTCTCTCTCTCCCTGCATTCTCTTTACACATAGATATACGTGTTTCGAGTGTTGTCTGTGGTCGAATTTGCAAACGAAACGAATATCCGAACGGTCGTCATCGTTTACCCGAACCAAAGTTATAAATATAACATAAGGGAGAAAGAAAAATTCGATCCAGAAAAAAAATTCAAGCTGTGATGATGATGATCATCAACAAGATGATGCCTGTGGAACTGGAATTTCGTGTGAGATATGGCAACATCACACGTAAAATATCAATATTTTTTTAAAAAATACCAATGATGGTAAACCGGTTTTTTTATTCAATTTTTCTTTTTCGGTGGTAAAGAGGATTCAAATTCGGAAAATCATTTATATCCTCTACATCATAAATATCTTTTTGGTGCAAAGTGCAAAACAAAAAACATCTATTTTGAATGATGATGATTTAACTGGAAACTCGTTTTGACAGGAAATATGGGTGGATAGAAACATACAACAGGGCAATTAACACTATGTAGAATCAATACTTTATTTCTATGGAAAATATTTCTAAAAATAGTAAAAGTAAATTTTTTCTTTCCAATCTAATTTCCAAATAATATTTTTCCAAAATATTGATTAACAAAAATTTTCATCACCTGGTGCCCAAAATTTATTCACAAATATTATTCCTTTGTTTTCATATTTCTGACAATGATGAAACAAGAACTGTGTCTCTTGACAATCAATGTGTCGATGAATCAAATCAAACGAAAATGGGGAAAAAACTATCCGAACCACCAACCAAACCAAACCAATCAACCGACAATCAAAAACCAAACAATAACGAGGGGAAAAAATAAAAAATATTTTACATTTTTTTTTGTTGCTTTTGACAACCCGTCATCCGGGTATTAAGGCGTCCCGCCTTTTGAAAGGCGGTTCCCTTCATTTGAAAAAAAAATTCATAATAATCATCATACACTGCGTATATCACATTGAATGAAAAGTGGCCAATCTAGATTTTGCCAAAAAAAAAAAAATTTTGAATTTTGAAAAAATCGTTGCTTCTACGATGATGATGCGCATTTGCACGATATTTACGATGTTGGTAATAACTGCACTATCACCATTCAACATCATAAAATGAAAATGACGACGACGACGACTATTGATGTTGTCTTTGGTATCTTGTCTTGTCCTGTTCTTTTGTTTTGGTCGGTTTGGGGTGACTTTCTTTATATTCAAGTTTCTCTTTTTTTGATTTCGCTATTGTTATTTTCTCTTCCTTTAGAAAAATTGGTCAGGAAAAATAATTGGTTTGCAAGTTTTCTTTTCCAGTAACAACGTTAATAAAATGTGGATGCATGACTGGTCAGTGGAAACAGTGAAACAAAAAGTCAGCTTTTGCCATACAAAAAATTCACTGAGAATTATTATATAGACACACACACATCCTCTAGGACACTGGATTCTATCAAAACTTTTTTTTCTGATCTGAGCTGAGAAAGAGAGAGAGAGAGGGAGAACATTATTATCGTTAATGGCCATCATTAACCATCAATGACAACAACAACACTTCGAATATTGAATCGATCACCACCAACTGTTGTGGAATTCATCAAAAATAGACCAAAAATACTGTTTGATCTGACAGATTATATTCACAACCACACCAGAGATCATATCTTTACCTGAAAAAATAGGTAGCCTATAGTGATAATTGCTGTATATTTTCTGTTTTTTTTTGTGGTTAAATTGATTTCAAACATTTTGACAGGATTTTAGTTTCTTTTTCTTGTTTTTCGGTTGCCTTACATTTTTACAACAAAAATGTTGCAACAAGGTAAATTAGTTGATGTTATTTTTTCCATCGAAAAATCCAATCAAATCAATGAATAACCATTTTTGAAAACAAAAACATTGTTTACTTTTAAGTAAGGTGAGATCATCATTACTTCTAAATAAATTTTTTTTGGTTTGAAGCAGATGTTTTTCACTGAGCTGAACTGACCTATCAAATCAAATTATCGTCCAATCTTTGGTTTTTTCGTTTGTTCGTTTAATTCTCTCCCATATGTCATATGTGTGTGTGTATGGGCTGTCAATGAAATAATATTCATATTTTTTTCCATTTCTAACATTAAGTCTGATATTTCGATAATGAACGATGATCGTTTGTTTTTTTGATCCAAATTGTCATATATTTAGTCTGAGTTTAATTGACACATCATTGTTAGTTATTTCAATGATAATAATGATGATGATAATTCAATAATGATGATTAAGAGATGAAACGTGTTTGTTGTCCTATGTGTATTCTATCTCCACACAATTGTATATATCGAACATTGATTGAGATTGATGTCTATCTTGATCGATCAATCGATCGATCGATCGATGATGATGATGAAAATTGAAAAAAATTCGACAACAAACAAACAGCAAATTAGACAATGATGATGATGTGATAGTGTGATTGAACTAATCGAAGAGTTTTTACGAGAAAAAAACAAAAATCTAAATTCAAGATCCATACACATAGACAAACAAACAAACACACTTGAATAACATCAATAAGTCAAATATCATCATTCAATGGATGATATATAGAAAAGAACCAAAGTGAATTTACCACTGCTACAATGGAGAATCTGTGATTGAAAAAAGAAAATTGTATATAGTAAAAAAAGAAAACATTTTTGCTCCGTAAATTGAATTGAATTTCATTGAATTGCAGCAAACAAACCAAACCAAAATGTTGAAAAAATTGAAATAAAATACCAGAGAAGACCAAGACGAAGTCATTTTGTTCACAATTGTCAAACAAAACAAAACTTTAGAATATCAAAAAAATCTATAGAGTCAATCAATTGTGTGATTGTGCATCATTCAATTTCATTTTACACATTCATTCATTCATTCACTTGACTCTCGCATGCTCATATCGAAATCAAATTTTGAATTCGGAACAAACATTTTTTTCCAGTTTAGTTTTTAGTTTTTAGATATATTTTTTTCCACCACTTTGGATATACACCAACAAACAAACAAACAAACAACACACTTGCATTATTTTACAGATCAACTTGAATATTGTTGTTGTTGATGTTTAAGTGCATTCACTTGATTCAAATTACTTGATTATATATTTTTCACTCCAAAACAACAGTCACTATATTATAATATATAGTCAGTATTTGGGATATCTACTTGAAAGTATCTCTGAATGAATGATGCTTTTGGTTCAATTTGATTGTTTTTTGTTTTTTTTTGCCTACCGTTTTACAAATGGAAAAAAATTCATTCAAAAAAAATTTAAGAAAAAAATCGATATTATTTCAACTCAAATTCAAAACATTTTAATGATTCCGTTTCGGTTTGTTTGTTTATAAACATTTTTCGAAAAATTAAGTGATTAAAAAAATGATGACACACAAGTGTGTAAATGGATAAGATTCTGAATTCTGATCTTGATATTTTTTACTGAAAATCAAAGCGCGTGTGCTTGGATTTTCATTTTTTTTCCTTCTCTACTTTACATTACTTTTCGGGATTTATTAAAGCAAAAAAGTTTTTCATAATAATAATAATAATTCAACAGACAGAGAGAGAGGGAGATTGAGAAATTGAAAAGAATCGGATGTACATTCAAATGATAAGCTTTTTTGATGATGATGATTTTTTTCATTCAAATCATACTTAACTAAATTCAACAACAACAGAAATAAGATTCCGAATAAAAAAACTGTCATTCAATTTTTGAATTGAATTGAAATAAAAATAAAAAATGAAAATAACGTGTGCCAATTG